GTGTAAGATGAGTGGTGTAAGATGGGTGGTGTAAGATGGGTGGTGTAAGATAGGTGGTGTAAGATGGGTGGTGTGAGATGAGTGGTGTAAGATGGGTGGTGTAAGATGGGCGGTGTAAGATAGGTGGTGTAACACAGGTGATGCGAGATGAGCTGTGAGATGGGTGGTGTAAGATGAGTGGTGTAAGATGGTTAGTGTAAGATGAGTGGTGTAAAATGGGTGGTGTGAGATGAGTGGTGTAAGATGGTGTAAGTCAAAGTCATGGTGTGAGATGCGGCGGCGGAGGAGGCGGAGGCGGAGGCGGAGCACGGCGGAGCGGCGGGTGCAGAGCGAAAAAACAAGAACCCCACATAGATGTGGGGAACAAATTCACCGAAACACTGTTTGCACGCAGGATTTAGACCTGAGTTGTGTCATGAACTGAAACGCAACAATTAAACATATGTCACCTATCTTGAGAAAACACTGCGCGCACGCAGGGCCGAGACGACTTCTTCTCATTGCTGCTACTTAACCTCTGTGCTAGTAGCCTCGTCGTCCGCAGCACCCACGATAGCCTGGAGCACGGCTGCAAGTGACGACTCTTGATGTTGTCACTGTTAAGGTCTTGGTGCCACTTGAGTTCAATTGAGAATAGTGAGGGGCCTCCAACATTGACGGCTGGGCAACACCTGACTTTTCAGGATCCGGACAGAATCCGTACCAATAAACAGTCAACTTCAACCTGAGGGGCTGACCGGCCATGCATTGCGGAGAACGCGGGTGATCCTGGGCAAGTTGACTGGGTTGAATGGCCGGGATGAAAGGAATGCCAAAGTGTTGCGGGAGGCCTCTGGCACTGGGAACTCCTTGCAAAGCAAACTTGATTTCAAGATGTCATCAACGTGTTGGGAGCTAAGCAAGACCTTTCATATTTGCTCTGATCTTTCCACAACCCTCCTCGGCAATCACCTCGACGCATAGTAGAGTGTCGCTTCAATGGACCCCATTTCAACTCTAAAGCAAACCCCTCCTAAGGCAAAGCTCTCCATGCAGCTCAATGGAAGGACATTTTGAATTGCCCAAGAGGAGACCTCAGATTGATCCTTTGCTATCCAATATAACATGGCGCTACACCGTGGCTGGCCCGCCCCCCGCCTGTGCAAACCGCTCGCTTCGATCTGTGATAGGCAAGCCTAAAACCTCAGGAAGCCACAGCATCAATCTAGCGTGCCGAAACGTGGAGCATCATGGAGCACTGACTAAGCAACACAAAGCATCATAAGGCCACAACTACAGGTGTGGCCCCAATGCTATCTCCGGCTTTCGGAGTGCTTGCCTGAAGTGAAAGCCAAAAAAGCACACAGTGAAAAATCAAATGGCCTATTGCGTCGAGGCAGACAAGCCCGACAAGAAATGATCGTCTAGAGTCTAGGCCCAAGCAGGAAAACACTTATATATAACATGACTTAACACTGGCAAACTCTGGCATAGTAAGCTTTCCGAAATCATCTTCAAGGCTGCGGCCTTGTCATCTCGCTCAAGCACTTGTCCTTGGCAAGCAACACTTGTGCTCCCCGAGGCTGAAGTTTGAGGAGCCACCCCCGCAGAAGATTGTGCAATTGTTGCAACATGATGTACATGGCATTGTAAACCCAAAGTTTATTGACTGTCACAACATCCCATTCAAGTAACGCAAGTGAACTGTATGTATGAGGCAAGCCCAAGATCAAATTTGCAACATCCCGCAAGTTTCGTCATAGTCAAATCATAGAATGATAGGGGCCCTGCCATCAGAGGCTTCCAGCATCCCAGCCTTGGAAGGCCAAAATGAATCCAAAGCACACAACCGATACGCCAGTCCAGCGTCGTTCAGCAAAGGGGCACAAATATTGGGCAACCAAATGTCTATGAAGTCAATCAATGCTTGCACATCCTGCTTCCGGAATTCGTGCCAGCTCCAAGCCACTGAGACATGTGCACTAAAGGGCATTGGAGGCCTGTGCAAAAGAGTCAGCGCAGCTCGTACAGGCTCAGCTTAAGACTGGCCCAAATACATGCGCTGTAGCTGATGTGCCTGATGATGCTTCGAGTGCTTTATATTTATTGTAGTCGTTGCAAGCTCGCCCGCCTGTCTTCTTCTCCTCCTACAATAACATGACAATGACAAGGACAAACGACATCAAAGGACAACGTATTTGAAGAACATTGAAGTTGATCGGGGCAGCGACTTGGCGTGAATGGCACAGGGTCAAAGTTCCTTGGCTTGTTGTGTACTCGGCCAAGTGGAATTCAGAAAAATGCATCTTCAACAGGTCGATGGCTTCTCTTACTGCTTAATTTATCCTTGGAGTCTTTAGGTGATAAGATCTCTCACAGTCAACTGATGGACTGACCTGCAGATTCTGCGAGCACGAAGGCACGAAGGAACTAAAGTGAATGACGACCGAGGAGGCAAGAATAAAGAGTAGTATAGTTGGAAATACGTTTTCGCGCGTTTTCCATCACCACCAGCAAGTGGCACCCATGCCCGAGGCGGTGGCAAGTTGCGCACTTGACCATGTAAGCCTTTTTCGTGAACCTTGCGACATTAGGCGCAAAAACAACTGCAAATTGTTTGACGATTGACAAGTCTAGACTCTGTCGCTCAATAGAGCCATTTTGTTTGCGTGAAATCCAAGGCCAACGCACTTGATGCTTTCAGGAAGACCTCGGGTCGGTTGAGCATAGGCACTCACAGCTGCATCAAAAAAACACGAGTACATCTCGACATGAATAAAGCATGTATAGGTAGATAGATAGTTAGATAGACAGATAATGACAGATAGGTAATTAATGATAGATAGATAGATAGATAGATTCTAGATAGATAGATAGATAGATATAGATCGATAGATAGATAGATGGATGGATGGATGGATGGAAGGATAGATAGATAGATAGATCGATAGATAGATAGATAAATAGTTAGTTTCAGTCTTTCAGTTTCAAGCTCTCATGAGAATCTCGCAATTGTGGGCACAGGACAGAGGTCGTCCCGGCTGAACTTGAAGTTCAGGCAAGCGCCGGAGTGCGCTTCAGCACCATCATCAAAAAAAGATGCCGCTACACCAAAAGGGTCTATGACAGTGTGCCATCAAACAACATGAGAAACCGAGTCAGTCCTCTGGAGTTAATCTCTCGCGACAGGGCTCACTGAGGAGTTGCAAATAACCAAAAGGAAAACGATTCGGTCCTCCAGAGCTCAATCTCTTATGAGAGGGCTCACTGAGGAGTGATTCACAAGTCAAAAAGGAAACCAGGCTGCCGTCAAAGTGCAAACATAAATTTCAAGCAAAAGCAATGCCACGTGTGCCATGGCAGGGTTCACAATCATGCCTTCAGGCGCGGAGAACTCAAGTGCCAGATCCAAGTGTGATCAAAACTACAGGTCATTGCGCGTGAAATGGTCAGTTTGAAGAACGTGTACAAGGTCTTGGCGCCTCAGCCTGATGCCTTCTCAGTGAGCCCTGCAGTATGCTCTCAGCTTGTCACAAGCACTGCAGTATGCTCTCAGGCGGCTCAGGATGTCCTCCAGGTAGCACTCCAGGTGCTTCTGGCGTTGCTCAAAGGCAGCTGTGGCGCCCATAGCGAAAAGATCAGTGCCAACGAGCCCATAGCGGCCAATGCAAACTTCTCTGGCCAGCACACGAAGATCCAGCTGTTGGTCATTTCGAAGATGATCCATCCCTGCGCTGACAAATGGGCAACGGCAGCAACTACAGTGTATGGGTGATGTGTGCATCCCCGTTGGATGGGGAGCCAGACTCGTGGATTGATCAAGGTCCCAGGCGCACTTGCATGGGTGGCCTGAGCTGTCCAAGGCAAACTTGTCCAAAAGGTGGTTTCCACAGTCATCTACCAGCTGTTGGAGTTCAATCTTTTCTGTGCTCCTGGGTGCTGAAGGGTGTGAGGGTTGCGTGGAGCCCCATGATCTCTCTGTTGGATCATATCCCCTTCCTGTACAACTCGCCGCCAAGAGCTATCTGTTTGGTCCAAATGAGGAACCTTCCCAGAATTCGTCCCCACCAGGGACGAAGACAATCGCTAAAGGTGGGCTCTCCAAGCTGAACAGTTCACTGAATCTCAGCTCCTGAACCCAGGTCGTTAACGTGGGGTGACGGAGCTGTAGAAGGCCCAAAACATGGGAGTCAGAGCCAAATTCGGGCAATCATTCCCATCGTTGCTGAGGCGGTCTGCCATCAACCATCCAATCACTGCCTCCTTCTCGATTGGCCAGAGGACGCCTTCGCCAAGTTCGCCGCTAGGGTGTTCTCCCGCACCGTGCGCGGTCTGAGACGGCCCCAAGGGCAGACTCCAGACCGACAAGGCTGACAGCGTGTGGAGGAGCTCGAACAGCCTGTGGCGTCGAAGGCTAATCTAATCTGAAGCATCCATTGCATGATACTGATCTTGTTGGAGTCCGGGTCAGATGCTTTCAGGGACTTGAAGCGTACCACTGCCGATGGATCCCTTGCCAATCGTGTTTCATCGGTCTCTTCAACGACTGTGGTCTTGGGCCTCCCAACAGACTTCCGAACGTGTCCGTGAGTTGACGCATCACGTCGTCCGGGAAGATCTCGAAGTGCGGTGCGGTGAGATGCACAGCCAGGTTCAACGTGAGTGGGCACGGGCCAACTATGTTACTGGCTTTCCAGCAATATGCGCAACAGAAGGGAGTTGGGCTTAGACACGCTGCAAGGCTTCAGTCAGTGAAAGTCCATGGTGCGCGGGCAAATGCTCAACCATATCTCGCGGTTTGCGTGAACAATGGCAGAGGCTGCAAGTTCGACTGAGCCACGAGCACCGATCTTTGTCATTCCAGTAGAAGGCTGCATCCAGCGACAGGGGATCCTCCTGAGTGAGCGCTTTGTCAGAGGCTGGTGAGGTAGTAGACCAGCAACATGCAGCAATGCTAACTGAGTGAACACCACACACTTGCGCCCACGCTTGGTCGTGTAGTTGCCACGCATCAAGGTTTGCCACTGGCAATGGCCGGGTTCTGGTACCTGCATTCCGAGGCTTGTGCCACAAATAGACTTTCGGCATGATCTTAGGCAAGAACACAGCATGATCTCAAAGCCGCTTGGTATTCAGTGTTTCGTAGGATGCCTTCCATGTGACGCCGTTGAGAGAGGCTTTGGAGAGTGGGCCACAAACACGGTACATGACTTCCTGGTGGCCTGTGTGCATTGAAGAGCCGACAGCCATTCTCAATGTGGTTCCTCAAAGAGAAGAAGGAGGCCAATGTCTTCACTAACTGCACGTGGGGGCGCCGAATCCCTAGCAGGCTGGAAATCAAATTGCTTGTTGTTTGAGCGCCCAAGTTCCCGTCTCTTCAATGCGTGTGGAAGTGGATGATCCGGGTCAGGCTTGGGGGGGCTCCTGCAGGCTGAGCTGTTCACCTTCTCACGCACGATGAGGAAATGGCCAATTGTCTTGGGGCATGACAGCCGTGTGTGGCTTCCTGTCGCACTCCACAGACCAGGCAGGCCTTCGCGCTTTTGATTCTCAAGACAATCTCGGATGTCTTGGTCTTGGGTGCTTCCCACATTGAGTGGTGACACCTGGCCAGGTGCCTGAGGATGTCTTTCCCAGCTTGAAGGCCCTTGCGCAGATCACACAATGGTAGCGGAACCATGTCGCAAGGTCATTCCGCTCGAACAAGGCCTCCCATGAGCGTGTGTGAACAAACTGTCGAACTTCATCACGGTCACAAGGAGGTACCTGCCACACTCTGTGATGGTCAAACTGTGGGCAACTATTGAACGCAATGCGATGAATCAATCCAGTCCAAAGTGCAAATTTCCTTTGGCAGTGCGTGCGTTGAGGTTTGCCACGCAACGCGTCTCTCAAGCTGTGGAATTTGTAAAATTTGTAAACAAGCGGAAGCGCTTTGTGGCGTTTCGCCAACTGCTTGTGCAGTTGCGCGAGGGATTCACACTGGTGGGCGCAATAAACACAGCAGTGTATCAGCACCTCCTCTAGACTGCTTGATGACGGCCGCGCAGGATCCTGAAGGATACTCATGACTCTGCTTTGAATTTGGTCAATGGCCCTCCTGCCGCAATCCACAGCGTCCCAATCCATGAGCGTAGCTGGAGAGGACACAAGTCGACCAGAGCCGTGCTCTGTCTCTGCTAGTGAGGACATTTTTGCCCGTGAGCCAAGGTTTCATCCTGAAGTAAGTTGGGATATTGGGCCTGGAACAACCACTGCAAGAGAACAGCCTGCAAGGGAGGTTGGCATCCACAAAAAGCGAGTCCAGTTTCCAGATGTTGTCTTGGTAATCTGTCTTGTTGAAGGTCCATGGAAAGAATGAGGCCGCCGCCGCATCTGGTTTGTTGGCCAGCAGTTTTCCAAGGGCCTGGCCGCAGCTGCACACAATGATCAAGAACTTCTGGCAAATGCGCAAAAACTGGATACATCTGAAGAGTGGGGAGCATGAACTCCCTGGCCTTCTGCGTGTAAGCTCCAAGTGCCGCCTTTGTGAGCTGGAATTGCAACGTTCGGGTTTGCCAGCAATGAAGAGATGTGCATCTTTCCAAAGTTGTGGTGTATTGGAAGGGACTTGATCGCAACGCCCGGCAAAGTACCTGGCGCCACAGCTTTGCTGCGTTTGGTCTTCAGAAGCTGAGCAGCAATGTCATCAGCTGTGAGGAGCCACGGCGCCGTGTCTAGGAGTGGATCTATCTTGTCCAAAGATTGCCTGTTCAAGGGCGTTTGCCAGGAGCATCCAGTGTCATCGAGGTCCCAGAAGTGGAGCCAGGAGCGGAAGTAGGACTGGTGAAGATCCTGCCACGGTAAGTTGCCAGTCCATGAAGCGCCAGGCGTCGTTGAGCTCCTCTAAAACTCAATTTTTTGCTTTTGATCCCGCAGGGATCCTTCTAGCCCTGCGCCGGAACGTGCAACCATCTGGGCCCCTCCAGGGCACGGCACGGCCCCTACCCAACCCTGCCCTTTCCTGTCACCATCAAAATTACTTTGGAAGCCAAGCCTCGGTGACAGACCCGGCATTGGGACCGGGCGCAGATACCAGCTCGACGCCTCACAAGCCATGCTCCAGAGCCTGCGCTCGCTGTTCGGACTGATAGCTACGGGTGATACGCTTACGTTTTGCATGAAGGACTCCACCACCAAGTGAAGCCGAGAACCAGGAAGGCGGAGATCACGCACCAGAAAGGGTGCCGGGACACCCGTGAGTTTACCCGGGTCATGGCGGATCAGGTGCCATCTGCGTGGCCTGGACAGCCCTTCGATCTGCCAAAGGCTGATAGATAGATAGATAGATAGGTAGATAGATAGATAGATAGATAAAGACAATGGAAATGATAATGATAATGATAAATAGATAGATAGATAGATAGATAGATAGATGAAACGTGAAAAACGATAGATAGATAATGATAGACAGATAGATAGATAGATAGATGGATAGATGGATAGATGGATAGATAGATAGATAGATATATAGATAGATAGATAGATAGATAGGTGGATAGATGGATAGATAGATGGATAGATGGAATGATCGATGGATTGATAGATAGATAGGTAGATAGATACAGAAAGACAAATAGATATGGACATATATATGTATGTATTTCCCCACATTCTTGTGTGGGGTTCTTGTTTTTTTGCTGCACCTCCTCGCTCGTCCTCCTCCGTCCT